ATCTAGAGCTACCTAGCTAGCTGTGCCTCCATCCCTCCTCCTCCTCCTCCTCCTCTTCCTCCTCTTCCTCCTCGTCGTCGTCTACAACGTACAACTCCCTCCCTCCCTCCATCTGAACACCCCTAACTTCGGGGGAAAACAAAAGCGGACTGGCACGGGACGAGACGAACACGATGGAGAGCGATACGGTACTCGCCACGTCCCGGGAGGATTGTCGGCTCGGGAAGTCGAGGGCTTGTTTGGAAGCAGAGCGAGACGAGAGAGGGGGCGGGTATGTAGCACGGCCAGGGTTTGCCTTGATGGGTATGTAGGTGTTGTTGTTGGAGCGGGATGTTTGCAGGCGGGTGGTTTCCCCAAAGACACTGGAGGGAGGGTGTCTGGGGATTGAGTTGACCATGGATCCATCGTACGTATGGATAATTGAGATGGATCAACAGAGCGTCTTCAAGGTTAAGTTAAGGAAGCATTGATGACACTGGAATTATCGGGTCAAGCGGCCTTGCAAAAGAGATATCAAGAAGTCGAACACGCTTATCATCAAATTTCGTTCTGCGTACTCAGAAATGCCAATGCCAAAAATTGACACCCCTACGCTCCAACTCTTGAAACCCATCACCCGTGAAATGCAGCGATGTTTTTGAGATTATTGTTTCCGCAACCCCCTTGATCTAGTCTGCCTCCACAACACCCAAACCAAGTAATGTCAAAGTAGCAACATTCATGAAAGCAATGATGAACCAGATGATCCATCCTGCGATCAGTGTTGGCCAGTTGTTAGCCAAGCTAACCCTCGGATTCTCAGGCGCGGCTCTCTCCGTATCGCACGAATCCATGGTATCCAGCGTTGCGACACTCGTTCCACCCTCAGTTTCCACCATCATGTACCTGTTGAAGCTCGTAAACCAGATTAGCGGGAAAGTGAGGAAGATCAGCGCCACGGAGAGAACAACATTGGCGCCATTCAAAGCAGCCGTCACGCCGTCCCGACCCAAGGCCGCTGCGATGATGATACCTGGAATGAGAGCAACCGTCCGCGTAATGAGACGGCGGTAGAATGGGCGAATGGTCCAGTTGAATGCCCCCTCAAAGACCATCTGACCTGCCATCGTGGCCACGATTCCCGCACTGATACCGGAGAACAGCAGCGATAGTCCGAAGATCGTTGCAGCAGCCTGCGAAATCGTCTCTCGGAACAGCTCATACATTCCCCATAGATCTGCATCGTCCGCTTCTTCTGTCAGTTGTGCAGCGGCAATAATAAGAATGGCGGAGTTGACAAAGATGGAAACGATGAACAAGGTGATGATGAGCTCGGCGATCGAGTAGTTCATGCAAGCTTTGATGGCCGAGAGAGATGGTTTGTAGAGCTTGCGGGCGGAAGGGCTAGAATTGGTAGGTTCTTCTTTATAGGTGTCATTTCTGACATCGAATTCGCGGAGCCGTGGCTGGGCGAGTCCAGTTCCTAAGTAGATTGTGTGAGGCATGAGAGTACCTCCGAGAATGGCACATGATTGATAAAGTCTGTAATCCATCAGTTCCGGGCCGGAATCTACGCTGAAAGATAGATGATGTACCCTTCTCCTTTGAAAATGGTCTTGGATGGCAGGAAACCCTTGAAAACGTGTCCAACCGGAGTATTGGTGATGTACGAGAGCTCAATGCAGAAGCAAATAAAGATGGCCACAACGAAAGTTCCAACGAAGAGCTCAAAATAGCGAAGGGCCCTCATCGATCCATCGGGTCGATAGAAGTAGAGGATGAAGAGCGTATCCACAATAGACAAGGCACATCCAGCCACCAAGGGGATCTTTGGTACCAGAATGTTGATAGCAATGGCAGTGCCAATCACCTGACCAATGTCGGTGGCAAGAATTGAAGCTTCCGCAACGAACCAGAGAAAAATATTAAGCCATTTTGGAAAGTAGGCTTTGATCATTTGAGCTAGATCCATACCCGTGACGGTTCCGAGCTTGACGGAGAGGGACTGTTGGAAGCTTGTGAGTACACAACTCCTGAGCCGTAATCATGATACATACCTGTAGAAAAATCGCGATCAGATTCGAGACCAAGACCATGAACAGTAGCTTGAACTTGAACTGGACACCTGAAGAGATCGAGGTTTGAAAATTATCGGGGTCGATATACGCGACGCTGATGATGCCTGCCGGTCCAACGAATTTGCCAAATTTGACCAAAACAGCCGCATACTCGCGGAAGCTCTGCTTTGAGAATGCATCTCGGAATGATCGAGCCCAGACTCCAGTAGCATGCCGTTGATGCTCCGGCTCCTGAAGCTCGACAACGACATCGTTTCTCCTATCGGTCTTGATGGCTCCCTTCCCCGTGCCAGCTGCTGAGAATGCAGAGACAGGCTCGACGACATGGGATCTTAAAGAAGCCATTGTGAGACGAGGAGCTTGTTAGACTTGGAATTGGATTTAGGTTTGAAAACCATGGAGTATCGGGGGACATTGAGAATTCATACTGACCGACCACGCTTGCGCTACAGCGTGGCTGCAATTCCGGAGAGGTTCAGCAAGCTTATCAAGGAAGCAATGGTCACGAGTGGATTAGATAGAAGAGGGAGGGAAGCGGCGTAGGATCGAGACCAGTCACATCTCGTGAAATAGGTGCCGTCCATGCATGAGATCCCTACCATGGGGTTTTTGCAATACCCAACCACGTATTTGATGCCCTGGATAGATGGTCAGGAGTGGCCAGCAACGGCACAATTGGATGCAAGCTTACCTCTTACGGCAGAAGCCGCTCAAGAGGTGTGGCCTTTCGTCGTACCAAATCATTGTACGTCGGTACGTAGGTATCGATATCCCGAGAACTCAGCGCAATGAAGGGGATACTCGACGCCACGGGTACCTGATTGGGAGCGTTTTGGATGTTATAGGTAGTCCAGACAGCCGCGAAGAAGTGTTCGTGTCACTTCGGAGTAGCTGAGCTGAGCCGAGCCCTTGCGGTTTGTCGAAAGATCGTCGTTTGTCTGCATGCACACCCCATTCTCGGGGCACAGAGAGAAGAAAAGAAGGATTGATCGTGCTTCCTCCATGAATGTCGTAAAAGGCAGGGTCTGGCAACAATGTGAAGTGATGAAGTATCGAATTGAAGCAAGGAGATTTCAAGCTTTCAACCACCGCGCTGACAACTAGCGAGGGTTTTCCCCCTGCTTGCATCTCTCAGGACAAGCGAGAAAACATGAGGATGCACTGCGACTACCAAAGTTGATAAATGCTTGGGGCACATTGCAAACCTGGACCTTTCTGATGAAAAAGACTTTCATGACATCTATAGATGTTATCTCGCCATCATCTTTGGTCAACGACCTAACTCTTTGGTCAACCGCCTAACTCTTTGGTCAACCACCTAAGCTGTCCTGGTATAGTCTACAAGCGCTGCCAGGGGGAACATCGTCGGGTACCCAATGTAAGGAATACGGAAACGTGGAATCGAGAGAATATGACAGAGAATGAAGGGGAAATGATAGCGAGATTTGGAAGGGAATGTCAGAAGAAGAAGAGTCCGACTAGCTAAAACGCGGGTGCATCTAGGAATTCGGTGTCAATGCGCCCTTGAACCGTCGTCCTCCCTGACATAATTGAGGCTATCGATTATATCCATCTGTTGATTTACAGAGTATTGCAGCGGCTGGCCGCAGTTGCTGAGATGAGGAGAGAGGAGATTCAAATCTTTGCGCAGGTACCGATGGGGGCTTATAGACGGGCACCGACGACATTGCCAACACCCTGTTCATCTGATAAGTAAAACACAACACAAGCCAGGGGAGCTCTCCTCCCTTCCCTTCCCTTCCCTTCCCTCCTCCTCTCATTCCAACCAGATCTGTTCCTGCCGCCAAGCGCAGAGCATCGAGGTGGAGAAGCCACCTCACGATCATTCCTTACGTTGTCATTGTCGTCGTCGTTGTAGTTGTGTTCGTCTCGGTTTGCCTCTGTTCATCTTCTTCTCTTGTCCTCTTGTCGTATCTCAGAGGCAATAGCCAACTGCCATATTGCCATTGTACTCGATCTGTACGACCCATCCCTGTGCGGGCTCAGCACTCCCTTGAATAAGTGCTCTATCATTCCTTTTGCCACGCTCCCGTTCAATCTTCAAGACCTTACACATCTATTCGGCATGATGATCATTTCCGATAATGTCGTCTTTAATATCGCAGCCTTCATTGGCGGGCTCTTCGTTCTCGAATTCGGCGCGGACAGGTTCATTGATCACACTGCGAAGTTGGCCTCGCGAACGGGAATACCTCCTACCCTGGTCGCGCTTTTGACGGCTGGTGCAGAATGGGAAGAAGTAGGTCGTCTCGAAGTTCTACCACATCTGCCATGTTGACATTCTCCTAGCTAGTGGTGGTCGTGGCAGCCATCTCGCAGAAGCAGTCGCCTCTGGCCCTGGGGAACATCCTCGGGAGCAGCATCTCGAACATCCTAGGAGCCTTCTCCCTCGGCCTGATCTTCTCCAAATCCAATGTGACCTTTGATCGTTCCTCGAAGATATACAGTGGGGTCCTGCTGGGTCTTACGAGCTCCTTTGCGATATTTATCTTGTTCTTCGAGTCACTGGGACGAATTGGTGGAGGACTGTTGATGGTTGCATTCGTGCTATACATCGTATCTATCGCCTGGGCCATTTACAAGGGCATTGTGTCTCCACCCGTGGACTCAGACAGCGATTCGGACAGCGACTCCGCAGGCCCGGACTCGGATTCCGACCTAGAAAAAGATTCTGTTCCACTCAGAGAAGTTCCGCCCGTTCCGAATTCCGAGTCAAGCAGCACAATTACCCTCCGCGATCTCGAGAGCGGACAACACGCGAAGCAGGAGGGCTACTGCAGTGATGGAGGCCTCCACGAAGACATGTTTGACAACGTTACCCTCCACCCCTTGCGCGAAATAAAGCAAGCAGGCCACAGCACCCTCTATCACCTCACACATCTCACACTGGGCTTCCTTGCCCTTTCCCTAAGCGGCTATATACTCTCCCACAGCGTCACAACGCTCTCCACCGAATTCTCACTGTCCAGCACCGTCTTGGGAATAACACTGCTCTCTTTCGCCACGACGCTTCCCGAGAAGCTGATCTCCATCATGTCTGCCAAACGCGGCGAGTCAGGCATAGTCGTAGCCAACACAGCCGGCTCGAACATCTTTCTCGTCACGCTCTGCGCAGGAGTTGTCTATCTCACCGGCGACGTGGCGAGTCTGAGAGGAAGTGTGACGCCCTTTGAAGTGGGCTGTATGTGGGCGAGTAGCGTTGTGCTCTCTGGCATCGTGATGTTGGGAGGCAGGCGATGGATGGGATGGGTGTTGTTTGCGGCATATATTGTGTTTATTGTCTGTGAGTTTACGATACGACGGGATACTGATGTTTGAGGAGACGAGATGATGTGAAAAGTGGTGATTCCACTGTTTTGTTAATTTAGAAGTAGATTCAATGAATGAATGCTCAGGCATGCAAAGCCCCCCCTGCTCACCTCGCTTAATTTCACAGTGTCACGAGCGAGGAGCGGCGACGCAGCACTCAGAGCTAGAAAAGAAGGAAAAGAAATTCAGGCGTATTTTTTTCTCAAGTGAGATAATCTTTGCAGTCTTTCAATTTCTTTTTAAAGTGTCCTTGTGTTTTGTTTTAAGCATGTTCAGATGTATTGCGTTACTTGCGTGCAAGCGTTCAATTGGTGTGCCGGAGGGAGTGAGGCTCGATCAGTCACAGTATTGCGGTCTACGCCCAGAGTCAAGACAATTACACAGTTTTGAGTTAAATCATCGAATTCTGTTTGATAGAGAGCTCAAGCATCTAGGCGCCATGCAGGCCTCGCTAATCCGAGGAACCTTCGCTTCGCACCCACCAAACAAGGAGCACACCCACGGCCCAGCAGCCACCACCGAACACCACCAGCCTAAAGACCCAACTTTTCACAAACCTCGTCCAGGGTATCGTAATACTGCCTGTCCCAGTAATTGCACTTGCGAAAGTCATGCCTGGTGTCAGAGTGGCCCCAAACCCGTACCCCCTCGGGGCCCTCCTTCCCGAGTCCGATCAAGTCGTTCTCCTCGTGGCGCGGAGACTCGTCGTCCCGGACGGCGGGCCTACCCTCCCAGTCGATCAGGATGGCGACGGCGCGGCAGCGGCGGCACGTCTCGATCCACCACCACTGCTCGACCTTCTGCGAGAGACACCACTCCGCCGGGTACTTCAGCGCCATCTGCTCCTCGAAGGCGGAGCCGCGGTAGGCCGACCCGGGCTTGTACTTTCGGCACTCGGCGCAGTACCAGAGACCGGCCCAGAGGGAGGTCTCGTCGGCGAGCAGTTCTTGCAGGTCGCGATACCAGACGACGGTCTGGTCGTGGTGGTGGTCGTACCACTGCGCGTGTGTACTCCCCTCGTTAGCGAATGATGCGTTTCTCTCACACACTATAAACAGTCATGAGCACAACGGTGGGACCATCTCAGGGCCCTCAAACAGGAAGAGAAGGGAAAGGAGAGAGGGGGGACTCACATCCCACGACACCCTCCAGACCAAATCGTCGTCGTTCTGAGCCTCCTTCATGCGGAGATCGGTCGGCGACCGCAGAATATTATAGCACCTTTCTGAGGCCTTGTTCCACCACTCGTCCGTGCCGGGGAGGTCGTCGCACACGAAGTGGAAGACGCTGTAAAACCAGGCGGATGTCAGGCCGAAGCAGAGGCGCGAGACGGGGCCGAGCTGGGACATGATGTTAGCGTGGATCTCCAAGGGCAGGTCGTGGAACCTCTGCTGCCATGCTAGTCGTCCCGATTCCGATTCCGATTCGTGAGCGGCGGCTCTGAAGTTTTCGCTGAGAGTGAAATTAGATCTTGGGGGATTTTCGAGGGGAGGGAGGGAGAGGGAGGGAGAGGGGAGGGAGAGGGAAGGGGATAGGGGATAGGGGAAAGGAGAGGTTAACTTACTCAGTGCCGCCAGTTGTCGCCTCTGCCTCCAAGCTGAAGTTCGGGCTCAGTACTGCGGTTGCAGGATCGCGGATGACGACGAGGGCGTCGACGTCGACGTCGCCGACAAGAGTGGTCATTTTCTGTCCACGCATCTTCGCGTTGCTTCTCTTTCTTTGCTCACCAGATCGAGTTTCTTTATAGTCGTCAGAGGAATTGTCGCACGTTTGTTTGTGTCTAGATGGAATTAGAATGCTTTCGACTGTTGGTTGGTTGGTTGGTTCGTTGGCTGTTGAGCTCCGACTTTTTTGGCTATCAAACTGTGACCGGGAAATACTAAGAGTGGGGGGGAAAGAGTGTTATTTATACTGCAGAGAATAGGTAGAAAAGTGAATGAATATGGAAGGCACTTGTCAATCCCAAGGACGCGGTGTGGGCCCGCGGGTAGTGAATCCGTAGCGAGACTTCTTTTCACCTAGTAGTGCCATGACGGCGACGAGGAGACCTTACGATCATGCGTGAATTACGAATGGTATAGATCCATCATGGAGCAAGGAATGAATTATCGGGCTCGTAAGGTAGATGACTGGATGGAATGGTTTATTGTCTAGGTAGAGATTGTTTGGAGCTAGTCCAACCGAAGAAGGGAAAGTGATACTAAATAAAGACTTCACTGATAGAAGTGACTTGTAGAGACGCGACTGTATTTACCTCTCTTACTACTTTATGTAACTACTACTCGCAATACACGAGAGCTTTGCGGAGGTCATTCGTAGGGAGAACTAGGTATCCGTTCAGGTAGAGCGGTAAAGATCAACGGGGGCACCTTTAGCTTGCCAGTCCAGTCATTGATAGGTAGCTAGCTCGGTGCTGGGCTCCTAAGAGACCTAAGCTGGCTGGCTGTAGATAGGTACCTATCTACAGCGACGCTAAGAAGCGAATTATCCACAGCAACGCCAAAAACTGAATGACAAAAAAAAGTTTTTTTTTTAAAAAAAATTTGAACAGCATCATAGATCTCAGGAATACTTACCTACCAGGGATCTAGTCACAGAAATCTTTCGTAATAGCCTACTGATCACTCCACGACCATTTCCAGCACCTCCAGCACCTGCTCCTTCTCGACCAAGGACACCGGATTCGATGGAAGCCAGTGGTCCTTCAAGCAGTTGGCTGCCAGAGCATCCAGCTTCTCCCTGCCAACGCCCACCACCTTCAACGTCCTCGGCATGCCCAGCTCGGAGATGATAGCACCAACGACATCTCCCGCATCAGCACTGTCTTGCTCCAGCCCTCGGGCTTTCAAGACCTCGGCGACGGGTTCTTCGGCCCAGAGCAGATCCAGCACTCTCTGCTGCGGCTTCCGCACCTTCTCGTCCCCGTGGGCGTAGTTATACTTGAGTACGGCAGGGAGCATGATACAGCTCGTCTCGCCGTGACCGACGCCCAATGGGCCCAGCTGGTGTCCAATTGCATGGCTGCCACCCATCGGCACGCCGGCCCCAACACCTTTCATGGAGTCGATAACTCCGAGCATAGAACGCAGCCTCGCCTCTTCGTCTCCCCCGTTTCTCTTCGTCAACAGCAAGCTGGGCACCAGCAGTTTTAGCCCCGAAGCGAACCCCTTAGCTGTCTCGGCCGTAGCTCTGCTGTCGAGGGAACACAGCCCTTCGACACAGTGGTCTACAGCTCTGATACCGGTGGACAACCAGATTCGCTCGGGCGTCGAGATACTTAGTTCTGGATCGAGGACGACAAGGTCGGCGCCCATAGAAGGGTGCGCGAACAGAGTCTTGTGGCCATTCCTCATATCCGTGGCGCCCGCAAAGGACGAGTACTCGCCGCCCGAAAGCGAGGTCGGGACATTGATGACGGGAATCCGACACGGTACTGCTTTCTGGGGGTCAACAGCCTCCGCAGTCAGCTTCTCCAGATCGCCGAGCGTCGAAACGTCGTTGGCGAGTGCCTGCGAGAAAAAAGCTTTTAGTCAACAACACGTTGCTTGTCATTTATCACTTCACTTGTGCGAAAAATTATCCAGAAAGATTCTCGCCAAAAACGCACGAATGTGACGACCTTTGCCCCGTCGGTCAGACTCCCCGCGCCGAGCGTGATGATGGCATCCACGTCTTTTCCCCGGACGTCGAGCACGATCTCCAGGATGTCGTCCCACGACGTGTGGGGTTTCATGCCCTGCCTCACCCCGACCACTTTCTCGCCCAGCGCATCTCGTAACTGGGTGAAGGCGTTGGTTTGGGAGATAGACTTGGAGACTATGATGTAGACCCGTGAGGCATGAAAGGTGTTGCTGATGTGGTGGGCGCATGCGGCTGCGAACGGGAGCCCAAACGAGATGTGTGGTTTGGGCTGAGGCGGGAAAGCCGGACGGTAGGACTCGCCTTGTGCTGCCATTGTCGTAACCTGATTTTTCGCTGGTTCCGTGACCGAAAGAAAATGTCGGAATTCTGCAACTTCGACAAGATGTGTTCTTTTGAAACGAACAGAAGAAGTATGTACCAGTCTTGACTTCATCCTTGTATTCCCCCACCAGATATTAATATGGGGTTTGCCCCCGCTTACATCATGGAAGAGGTATTCCGGGGTCAAAGCATCTGGGGACGAAACTCAGTTCCGACTTGGAAATACTGTAATCAACAAAACATAATTGATTGAGAAGCCTGCAGGTGAGATGGCAACGCACTGACTATTACTTCATTGACGCGTCGGGCAAACAGAGAGAAATTGCAACGACTCTTTTCCCTCCGACCACCGGTCAAGTTCACTTGATTCTAGGACAAACAAACTTCGCCACTCTGACCAGATTTTCGCACAGAAGACCGAAGCGAGTAGTCCTCGACACGCGATTGAGATAATCAAAAGTGCCTAGGGCCTTGCCGGGCACATGACAGATATCGCCAGGACACCCAGGGCGTAGGGGCTGATGCGAAATTGATGTTATTCTCAACGATATGCATCGCAGCAAAGCGTTCTCTATCTTGGGATCGCACTCTGTGAATACCCCCACCCTCATACTCCGCAGGCACATATGAGGAAGAGGATTTCTCGAGTAGTAACTAGCAATGCCATCGTAAAATCCATGCCAGGAAGAAAATAATTCGTACAAGCGCCAGCTAGGAAAATTCCATGAGTCCTTCCAACCTGATATCACCACGTCTGGGACGTGGCGACTCTCGGACGGTCGAACGACGGTGGAATGACAATGCGCAAAATCATCCGTAAAATTTGTCGGTGGTCCTGCCTCCAAACACGCTAACGGATCACTCACAGAAAAGACCAAATGCACGTGAGCTTATGTCGTCGCCTGCTTTAGACTGACGGAAGGTTGAATGCTGAATCGTCCTGGTGAACGGAGGTTGTTCTCAGGGGGTGACGACCGCAGCGCTTTGGTTTGCTGGGCTTTCCTCGATAGCAGGTTTGGTGGACGGCATCATGCTTGGCGGGCAATCCGAAGTTGACCTTCATCGAGCAGTACTCCAACTCCTTGGGCATCCAAGTCTTGATGTGTTGGTGAAGCTCGCAGCGGTAAATACCACATTGCTTGCACTCTTGCTTCCCGACAACCTCCTGCATACAACTTAGTAGATGACATAAAGGCAACTTTGGAAAACTCTGCTCGCAATCCTTCAACATATCAAAGTGACGAGCGGAAGAAGGCACGTTGAAATTGACTTACCCAGGCAGATTCAAGTCTGTTCGGGCCAACTCGGCGAGTGTTCAAGGGAATCTTTGTGCCATGAATAGCTCGGTGAACCACATAGAGGGGTGGGGAAGCGAGGCCCAGACAGGTAGAATCAATAAGATCTAGATAACTGAAGACTTCGAGCTTAAGCCTGCGATCGAGTGTCAGTGAATGATCATCACCACATGTGCGATAGCACTTTAGGACTGCAAGGACGGTGTTTCAGCCCAAGCTACTCACTCGGTCGGAAGTTGGCTCAAGGAGGGAGCAGCTTCTTGCATAGGAATAAGTTGCAGCCGACGGATTATCTCTGGTGTGAGTTGGAACTCCCACTCCTCTTCCATATCGGTGTCCTTTAGCCGTATCAGCCGTGTCACACGTGCCCAGGAAGCTTCGGACATTATGAAACATGAGGTTTTTCATACAGTGTTGGCGAGGGGATCCTCATCGGCGTTTTTGCTTGATGCTGAAGACGCAGAACTTGCAAGAGCAAAGCTCACTGTTGACGCAGCTGGTGGAGGAATGAAACCTGAATGCCGGAGACTTTGAACCAGCTCGGCAACCCTTCGGCAGGTGCAAGCCATGGCTGACAGGCTGCGATTATCAAGCAGTCGCAAGATGGATTCGGTCCCCTCGCGATGGAGGCCACTAGATCTTGTCAGACGTATGGCAAGCGCAAACGGGCGGGCCGTCACTCACAAGGGCATAGAGCCGTACATTGTGGCGATGAGAGTGTTGAAGCTATACGAAGTAGAGTGCGGAGTGTTTCGAGAGAAGCGACGTGTGCGTGCTGTTATCGCGCTTTTGAGTTTGCGAGAGATTGGTATAGTACGAAGTATAGTCTCTCTATTGGATTCTTTCTCACTTCAGGTTGATTTGTATGTTTGTCTGGCTGGAGAGTTTTCAAGATAGGGAGGGAGGCGGAGGGAATCACTCTTTACATTTATATTGGTCGTTCGCTTCAGGCAGTACGGAGAGTGGAAGTTCTCTAGTGGGTCAGTCCACACCGCCTATAGTGGCCCCGAAATATATCCTCCAGCCGTGGGGGTTTCATTTGGACATCAGGAGATAATTTTCGGATCTTTTGGTGTTGCTCGATGGTCCTGTTCAATCATCAATGTTCGTGCATCCGTTTATGATTTTCGACGCAGCATGTCGTGCGACACTCTGGCTACGTATTAGCGCTTAGGCGCTACTTTTGGGAGCACCAATTATCACCACAGCTGTCAACCATCAGCTTAAAAGATCCCCCGGCTTTTTCTAAGCCACCTCGGGTCCGGATGAGTTGCGAGGAAGAATCAAAAGGAGAATTATGGAAGCCACGTGGATGCATCGCCAGCGCAACTCTTGTCGATTCGACGCCGCAACAGGGCCAACGGCTATGCTCACAAATGATACCCAAGGACCCTCAAACTCATTGGTGCGCAGTATGGAAATTTCTCAGAAAAAAATTTCAAGAACTCGTAGCCCAAGTTGCTGAAGGGCAAATGCGAATCGACTGACCTAGTTCCATGCACAAGGCTACCTACCTCGGTATCCCTCCCAGCAATGCGAACGAACTCCTGTGACTCCATTCCTCCATCGTACATGATCCCGTGCCTATATCGAAATCCAGATCACACTGATCACAACGTCCAGCCCCTTGTTCTCTCCTCCCTCGTATTTGAAGCTCCACATCCCGTCGGTCTTCTCGTTCCAGTATGCTCCAGTCGCACTATGCATTCCTCTCCGTCCAACATGTGGTTTCCCGTCAGTTCCTGTAGCCCCGTTCTTCGCATCGCTCGTTGAAATCGTAGCATCGGTGGCCTCTGGCTTGGGTGCGGTGCTTTCTTGCATGGCCTTGGCTTTGTTGAGGGAAGAGGTTGGGACGAGGTGTTGGATGATGGTGCTGTTCACGGCGTATTTGAACGATGGAGTACCTCCAGGGGGGGAGGATTCCGAGATCAGGGATCGCAAGATGGAGTTCTGCGAGGCCGTCTTAGTAGGAATGTTGCATGCCATAAGCCAAGGTCAACAAACAATAATGGTTGTGTTCCACGTCTCCGTCTTGGAGTGCTCATAGAAATCTGCGCTTCCCAAAGCACTCTGGCAAGCCTATTCCTATTTCTCAGCTCATTCCGAGCTGCAATCGAGCCCGAGTATGACCTACATCGTTCGCGATCTGCTTTAGTCGTGTGTAGGAAATGGGCTAAGGGGCCAAGTCAGTAACAATCGAATGCGCACAGCTCTGGGAACCACTGACTGGTGTTGCAGATGCGGATGCCATGTTTGTAAGTTTGTCCCTAAGGAATTCAAGATCAAAATGGCTCAGAGAATGGGAGGTTGAAAGAAGGGGTTTATGCAATTGCTGACAGCGAGTTACGCGCTTCCGCCTAGGGATAGTGCTGTCTGTTTACAGAGTACAGATGAAATTAATCCAGCCTTAAGTTCCAGGCCACACAATGCAGCCGGCTCCGCTGAAATGCAACTTCCCCGCCAGAAGGGTGAAAATGGCTGCAGCGGTGTAAACAATCCGTTCGACCAAGCCCACCTACCTACCTCCGCCACTTCAATCCAGCTTATACTTCTTCTATTTCGCGGTGGTTCTTGGTCTGGATCCAAAGCTTCAAGCCCGACATTTTCGAAGCCCACTCTCCGTCGCCCTTGCGCCGTCCATCCTACCACCGCATACTTATCCCACCTCTTGAACGCCCTATTGCTCCCTTGTGAGCCCAGCCCAGAATTCCAGACCTGAGCCGATACCCTTCCAAACACCACCAATCAAACATACCACAGGTCCACACACTAATTGTACATAAAATCCTCGATCCGCCAGCATGTCCAGCGCGCCGCTCCTCCAGCAAACGCCCGGTATGTTACGTCCGATTCCCAATATCGCTTCGGTTTTTCTCATATTCGACATCTTAGCTAACGATAACAACAGGCAAGCGAATTGCCCTCCCGACCCGCGTCGAGCCCAAAGTCTTCTTCGCAAACGAGCGCACTTTTCTCTCATGGCTCAACTTCACCGTCATCCTCGGCGCTCTCGCAGTCGGCATGCTGAACTTCGGTGACAAGACCGCCTTCTGGTCCGCCATCGCCTTCACGTTGGTAGCCATGGCTGCCATGATCTACGCGCTGTGGACGTATCACTGGCGAGCGAAATCGATAAGACAGAGAGGGCAGGGTGGTTTCGATGACAAGGTTGGGCCGACTATGCTCGCTGTTGCACTCATGGTCGCTGTGTCCGTCAACTTCATTCTGCGTGCCGTCAACTACGACGACATCGGAAAGAAGCACTGAATGGGCGAACGAAGGGTGGACGGGGCGGTGGATTTATCCAGAGACGGATGACTTGCATTCATCGGAATGATGGAATCTTGTGCAAGTTCACAAATTGGTGCAGTCAAGATGGGGATAATGCGTTTACATAAATGGACAACGAGTCCATGGCGTTGGAGTGCTGGGCGCTGGCCTGTACATATAGGGAGCCGGCGGTCAAACTGTATAAGTCCAAATCTAGTTCAATTTGGGAATGATGCTTCGCTCAAGCAATATTTTCTTATGGAAGTGCAAAGCCATGGGGGATCTTTGAAAACTCTGTGCAGACCCACCCTCACAAAACCTACTCAACGCCATTGCTCCGCAGAGATCACCACACGCAAGCCTCAATCTTTCTTCTCAGCAGCATTCGTTTGCTCACTAACAAATCATCAGCAAAGAACAATAGACAAGTCCAAAAGTAAACACTGACCCATATGCTTTCCTCAACCCCTCAATTCGGACCCTCGAGAGATACAAGCACATATTCGGCATCGCCCGAACCTTCTCTTTACCGTCAATCGCCCTCTCAAACGGCGTCTTCATCGTCTCAAAGCCCTCTTCCTCCCCATCCTCCTCCTCCTCCCCATCTTCCCCTTTGCCCCTCCCATCCTCATTCTTCCCTTTCCCTTCACTCTTCCCACCCTTGATCTTCCGCGCCTCCAAAACCTCCCCCACGACACAATACTGCCACCACTTCCCCCCTCTCCTCCCAACCTCCCGCTTCACAATCTCCGCCACACTAATCATCTTCGCCACCACCGCAGCCTTCGCATACATCATCACCACCACCCTCCCCTTCTCCTTCTTCTCCCTCTTCTTCTTCCCCCCACCCTCATGGTCTCTCCCCTGCGCCTCGAGCTCCCCTCCGTCGTCGGCGAACCTGAGCACCTCCAAGCACCGCGCAACCTTCTTCTGTATACTCCCCGACGAGAGGATACTCATCGTCACAACCTCATACCCCCCTTCCTCCTCCAGCAGCCCTGGGAAAACCAGCGGAGGGGACGAAACGCCATCTGCCGAGGTGTCGGTCGCGGCGGCCGGCTTCGGAGCGCTCTTCGCCGTTGGGCGCAGGGGTGGGAGAAGGTCTTGTTCTTCTTCTTCTTCTTTTTCTCCTTCTGCCGATGTCAAGGTGGAAGAGTTGCGTATCTCTCCTCTTCCTCTTCCTCTTTCTTCCTCTTCTTCTTCTCCTCCTTCTTCCGCAGCAGCTCCTGTATCCCGCGTAGCATCCTCCACCACGGCAGCAGCGGGCCTGGCTCGTTTCGCCGCGTGTGAAGGGGGCTGCTGCTGCTGCTGCTGCTGCTGCGAGGATGATGAAGAGGAGTCCGGACCGCGTTTGCGCTTTGCGGCGCGGTTGAGCTGCTTGTTCTGCTTGCTCGTGGCTGCTGCGCGAGCGGCGAGACCTTCATCTGGGCCGCCTCGCGCGGAGTTTGTGGTGGGTGCCATTTTTTTTTTTACCCTCTCGGTTTCGGTGTGGGGGAAGGACAAACGTTTCAGCCTTGTTGGCGAGGGTGGGGCGGTGGGGCGGTGAAATGTAGGGGTCCTCTACTTAGAACCGGTGTTTTTTTTTTTTTTTTCTTACGACATCG